TTCCCTATTAAACTAACGCCATAGTACAAAAATACTACCAAAAACCTAACAATAAAGGTTCAGTAAACGTTTAAAACCCCGGATTCTGGAAGGATGGGCGACATAGAGTAATTAAATCATTGGATTTAGACAGCTGAAAAAGTGCTGCTTACCTGGCTGAAGTCGGGAACAAAAGTGCTCTATCCCAGAAGCCCCCTTGATTATTTCCGGTAGCGGCCGTTATAATTTTAAGGATTCTCGCAGGTCGGTGATTTAGACGGAACGCAACGCCCCAAAACCTTGGTGCGTTACACACCCCCTAACCACACGAATAGGCTGCGACCCCGTAGCCGGAACCAAAAAAAACTCTCAAAGTTGTAGTTATTTTCCCAAGTACTGAACATCGATTGCCAAGATTCGTCCCTATTCGCTAAGAAGAATACAAGTGTACCCACTGCCTAACAATGCCACAATTTTCAACAAAAATAAAACAAATACCATATGACAATAATACAATTGATAATCTCCGATACAATGGAGGCGTAACCCTGCTGGCTTATAAAACACTATAATAATACAACCCTGGAATGAACACATCATAATGTCAAAGTTCATTGGTGAGCACCATCATAATATCAAAGTCCATTGGTGAGCACCATCATCATCAAAGTTCATTGGTGAGCACCATCATTGTAGCAGGTTCAGTAGGGAGCACCATCACAATAGAAAAGTTCATTATGCTCGTAATATTGTAAAACACAGGATTTCCACACCCTAGCAGTATTCAGCCAGGTATACACAATTCAGCTAAGTTTGCCAGCTACCAACCAATGCAATAAATGTCAGTTCGAGCGAAAAATTAGTAAAGTTACCAAGATATTACAAAATTTACTCGGTATCCCGTATGGAGTTACCCTAACAATTTAAAGGTTCCCTAGACCCCAACAATTTAAAGTTTCCCTAAACCCCAATAACTAGAAATATCCTTAAACCCTACAAATTTAGAATTTCCCTAAACCCTAACAATTTAGAATTTCCCTAAACCCTAATAATTTAAAATGTCCCTAAACCCTTACAATTCAAAATTTCCTTAAACCCTAATAATTTAACATTTCTTAAACCCTAACAATTTATAAAGTTCCCCAAACCCTTAAAACTTATATCGGTGCTTGTTTGACAGGGATCGCGATTCCCCTCCCTCGATCATTTCGTTCTCGTAACAATGCGGAGCAGCAAAACCTGGGGTGCGTATGGCCATTCCGCACCCCACGCCCCGCCGATCGAAACATCCCACCCAGAAACGAAACCCCAAAAGAGTCAAAAGCACAGACACAGCGGCTTGGGTTAAAATTTCACCCTGGTAGTAAGTTTCATGATCCAATACTTCCTAATCAAGTACCCCATATACAAGTATAATTTAACTTGACAAAGCATCAGGAATAGTTTAGAAATATTACAATTATCCTAGCCATTAATAGCCGACCTTCATTACGACGGTATTTGGGAAAAAACCCATTATATTTTAGTTGAACAACAAACCTCCCCTACAAGGGAGGGAAAACATATGCTTTGCACAACTGTTCTTATCTAGATCCAGTTGTAAAAAACAAAGCCAATAAACTTAAAAAAAACATTTTACATTATAACAAAACTTAACATTCTGGACTCTGTCCCGACATCAGGCAGTCTGCTTATCCCCCCTTAAATATTATTTTTTGGGGAAGCCACCCCTGTATATAAAGTATACGCCTATTTAA